GAGTTAGCAATAAGAAACCTTTTCCCGCTTGCTGGTTGTCCAGTGACTTGCCTAGGCTTCGCCTGAACGAGTCAGCCTTCGGGGCCGCGCTGCAGGCGCCAGTGGCTATGTCGAAGGGGCCGGAAGAAGCTGAAAATGGTTGGTGGACATAAGTTCCCATAGAATTCAGAAGGTCCACCGAAAGGTAGTAATCAAAAAACCTATCCATGGCCGGTCTTTGTCTCCTCAGCCCATCTTGCATCCCCAATGTGAATGATCTGCAAGAAAAACTCCAACCACTCAAGAATCATACTCGGATCATGGCTGGCCTTTGTGACCTTGTCTGTGAGAATCATAGGGCTGCCAGCAGATCTGTGAGGCCTGCTCCGAGCCAGCCTGGCAGGCGGCCTTGGCGCTGGCAGAGGAGCACTAAGCCACCAAGGTGGACATCACTATTTGGAAGCCTGGGATTTGCAACACCCAAGCCGCTTCCCTCCTATTTGGAAACCTCTGGATATTCACACGAAAAAACGTGGATCACGCGCGCGGACTTGCCGCTAGGACTTGGGGGCGCGGGTGGTGCCGACGCTGCCGCTGCTCGCGATGAAGAGCGCGGCACTGGAGTCAGGGGCCGAATGACTGGCAAAAAGACATGTGCTCGATGTATTTTTTCCACACAATCGTTTTGTTGTGCATGTCATGCTAGGATTCTTGGACGTCAGACTGGATTGAACGCGTGGGGTTGCCATTGGCCCACCGCGTCAAGGGAATCCACCACATCAAGGCAATCAACCGCAAATCCAAATGCTCAGCGGGCCCCTGATTCGGCCTTCATTCAGGTGCGACAAGCGCACCAGGGCATTCGCAATATTACAATTGTTTTATCCCCCCCAATTTACCACGAGGGTGACGTCACCTGGAGGCTCTTGTACTCACTCCTTGATTTTCTGGACTTTAAACTTGGGAGGAAAGCAACAAGTTTAGACTTTTTCTGGCCAACCCTCTCAGGAAGTGAGTGTATGAAAAGCGGCGCTTTTCTCCAAATCGGAGGGGCAGTCCACATCCATCCAGAGGCCCTTGAGACGTGCCTCTTTGCTTTTCTAGCTGGGCTCTTTCCATTTTGAATCTTGAGCAGAATTTTGATGAGCCCATGTTCGTTGGGCCAAACATGGGCTGGGCTTTGAAATTATTCTGGTTCTTCGGTCCACGGTTGGCCTTCCGATCTCCGAGGAAGGGCCGGTGCTGGCAGCAAAAGGCGGCGGTGTTACACGCCGCAGGAGTTCAAGGACTCCCTCAGAAAGTCTGGTCATAGATGGGTCTGTTTTTTTTGTTGGTGCCCATTTGGGAACCGTTCTTTTTTTGCTAGCCCCGGCTCAGGGCTTCGACTTGGCCAGGGGACTGGTTGTGGTTGGTTGGTTGGTCGGTTGGTTGGTCGGTTGGTCGGTCGGCTGGGCGGCAGCATCCCAGAATCCCCGGTTACCTGGTGTCAGGGCTGTGTATTAACCGGCCGCATCCCCAGTACTGTATCACCGGCCTCGCTCAGACCAGGGCTGCCTATTGGCTTTGATTTGGTGTCAGTTCAGAGTTGCTCGAGGCTGGCTTCGAGTGAGTGTTGGGCTTGCTGAGGTCTCATATAGTGAGGGTGGGTCTTGGGTTTGCTTGGGGTTCATTTGGGCTGGTAAAGGGCTGATATGATATCCAGGATGCTGTTGAAAAGCTTTAAGGTTGACTTTGAGTCGGTTTGGGTTGGCTTGGAGCTGATTCGCGCGAGGTGCGCGGCTCGGTTTGGGCTGGTTTGGGATTGGTTGTGGGGCGTTGCCCCAAACCACCGAAACCAGCCCAATGCTTGCGCAAGCCAATCCCTGAAGCAGTGAAGCAGCCAAGAGTTACTGCAAAAACGAGCCGCGCACCTCGCGCGAATCAGCTCCAAGATAACCCAAACCGACCTTAAACCCTCCAAACAGTATTCTGGATATCAGCCTCTTACCCCCAAACAAACCCAAGACCCACCCTATTTATTTTCCATGGAAATCCTCTCCATTCATCACTATTTTTGTTTGTCTACTGGTCATTTCTTTATCTTGGAATGACATAATATTTCTTACTTTCTTCATTTCTTTTCTATTTCTCTCGCATTCGCGAATGAATGACATGGCATGCGAACGAACGAAGTGAGTGGGGATGGCTCTCTTCATCAAATGCCATCCCATTAAAAATTTCTCTTTCCCTCCTGTCTTTCTTATCTCCCAAAAGCATTCTCACACGTAAGCATCTGGGATGCAATTGGAGATAAGATGAAGAGAGATCCTTCCTAACTCTAAGATACGAGAGTTGGAGGAAGGGACATGATCCGTCTCTTTTAAGGTTTCTAGGGGATTTTTGGGACCCTGGGCTGCCAAGTTGCTTAGAATCGGTTGGACTAGAAGTGTGCCATGGGGATTTGGAGTCGGGGATAGGTGCGGACGGTGTGGAGATTTGGGACTTGGCAGACGGTGGCCGCGTCAGTGGGACGTGGCTTGCGGGATGGATTCGTTTGTGGGGGTGCGGACGGTGCGTGCTGAACTGACTGTTGGAGTAACGTTTGCCTTCCAAATATGCAACGCCATGCGAACCGGGCTGGAGCTTGAGCCAACCCCGAAACAGAAGGCCGAAAAGGCCGCCCTTCACTGCGAGGAAAAGGTTCCGGCTTACGCGAGGAAAAGGTTCCGGCTTACGCTTACATGATGCCTTGCAAACACAGCATGTAATATGGTTTGGGGGGCACGCTGTGGATTTGCTGTTGGGTTCTCAGGCCCATCTTGTTAAAGACATATTTTCAGTGATGCGCAAGCATCGGTTTCAATTCGTGCATAAACCGTGTCGTCATGATTGGAGTACTGTTATTTTGATTTGTGCGTGTTTTTTCTTTTCTTACGGCACAATCAGCCATGGTTCGTTGCTCACACGGCTCAAGGCTCTCATCGTGACAAACATGTTTGAGGCTCACCAGTTGCAGCGTCATGACTTCCATCTCAACGTCAGTATGCCCAGTGGAAGAGGTGCTGCTTTTTCCATTTCCGCGACCTCCACAGTTTCAGAGCTGAACGTTGCCGCGCAGGAGGCTTTAGGAGAGCGTTGTTTGAGGCTGATCTCTTCAGATGGACGGCTCTTAGACACCAAGCATAGCTTGCAAGAAGCTGGACTTCAAGATGGAGACAACCTGACTGCTGTTCGACAACTACCAAATCTAGCTGCAAACGACAAGGCCTTCGTTCTGTTTGATGGCGGTGGTTCCACCGCTGTCGCCTGGGGCGATTCAGACGATGGTGGTGACTGCAGTGACGTCCAAGATCAGCTAAGGCACGTGCAGCAAATTCAATCCACAAGCACGGCTTTTGCTGCAATCCGGGCCGATGGATCTGTGGTTTGCTGGGGCTATTCAGGGTTCGGTGGTGACTGCCGTGCTGTCCAAGATCAGCTGAGGGATGTGCAGCAGATTCAAGCCACAAGCAGGGCTTTTGCTGCCATCCTGGGCGATGGATCTGTCGTCGCCTGGGGCGATTTAGACGATGGTGGTGACTGCAGTCATATCCAAGATCTGCTGAGGAATGTGCAGCAGATTCAAGCCACAAGTAAGGCGTTTGCGGCACTCCGGACCGATGGATTTGTTATCACCTGGGGCGATGAAGAATATGGTGGTGACTGCAGTGAGGTCCAAATGCAGCTGACAAATGTGCGACAGATTCAAGCTACGGGTATGGCGGGTATGGCCTTTGCTGCAATCCGGGCCGATGGATCTGTTGTCACCTGGGGCGACGAAAACGATGGTGGTGACTGTAGTGATGTCCAAGGTCAGCTGAGGAATGTGCAGCAGATTCAAGCCACATGTACAGCCTTTGCTGCCATCCTGGCCGATGGATCTGTTGTCACGTGGGGCCATGCAGGCTGCGGTGGTGACTGCAGTAATGTCCGCGATCAGCTGCGCAATGTGCGTCAGATTCAATCCACAAACACGGCTTTTGCTGCAATCCTGGCCGATGGATCTGTTGTTTGCTGGGGCTATTATTTGTTAGGCGGTGACTGCCGTGCTGTCCAAGATCAGCTGAAGGATGTGCAGCAGATTCAAAGCACACGCCGGGCTTTTGCCGCAATCCTGGCCAATGGATCTGTTGTCACCTGGGGCGATTCAGGCGAAGGTGGTGACTGCAGTGATGTCCAAGATCAGCTGAGGACTGTGCAGCAAATTCAAGCCACAAGTACAGCTTTTGCTGCAATCCGGGCCGATGGATCTGTTGTCACCTGGGGCTATTCACGCGAAGGTGGTGACTGCAGCGAGGTTCAAGATCAGCTGAGAAATGTGCAGCAGATTCAAGCCACAAATTCGGCTTTTACCGCAATCCTGGCTGATGGATCTTGCGTCACCTGGGGCCAGACAGACAGTGGTGGGAACTGCAGTATAAGCTGAGGAATGCGCAGCAGATTCATACCAGCCCCGGCCAAATCCCATTCGCAGCTTAATTCGGCTTCGGAAAAGAGAAAACGGATTCTCGCTGGGTCGAAAGGTCCGGATCGCGATCGGGCTGCTCCCGATGATGCTATCTCAGTTTCCCATTTTGGAGCCTCCAAAAGTGGCAGCTTCGCTGGACACCACAACGTTTGTTGCGGAAATCCAGTGCCCCCTGTAAGAAGTTTCTTCAAGCTCATATGCTTCTGACCTATACCTGATATGTGCAAACCCCGCCAACAAGGAGGGGTGACTTTGGAAAGCCCTGCAATGGGTACAGTTTGCAATTCGGAGATTTCAACCAAATGGGCGGGAAATCCAACTGGCGCTTCGTGTGTGGTAATTGTAAACTTTTCGGGCCTTGCCCGCCTCGGCCAGTCCGCTTTTGGCTGGCTTTGAGGTATATACTGTGCTTCAGTTTGCCTTGAAGTGATGTTATTAAAGTGAGCGAGTCGGCGCCGAAATGCGTGAGCTGGTTTCCAAGCTAGCGGGTGGGCGCATGTCCGCACGATTCCACCTGGCTTCCAGGGCCAGACTGAGAGCCGCGGAGAGCTACAGAATGGTGGGCCAAGCGCAGGTCCAAATTTCTAGGTATTGGACGGCTTTTTCTAGGGGGATTTTTAACGGGATTTTGGCCGGTTTCTAGGGAGATTTGACCGGAGTGGTGGAGGGGAGGAAGTTGACCGGAGCTAGATGGGAAGTTGGCCGGCTTCCATCGGCTTCTAGAAGGGGATTTGAATGGATCTTTAACTGGGAAATTTTTGGTGGACAAGCTCCAGTCCGCCTGAAGTGAGCCTGGAAGCAGCCGGCCTCCAGAGCTGGGAGGTCCGATCCCTTCAACTTCAGGCACGCAAATGCCTCCCCCAACTCCCTAAAAAACGATCAAATCCCCTTTAAAACCCGTAGAAACTAAGGAGGACCGGACTGCTTTTTTTCCGGCTCATCCACTCGCCCAGTGAGTATAGTTTCATTTCCTCGCTAATTGTTAACTCCAGATTTCCTCCAAGTCCCCATTGAATCTCCCTCGGTTAAAGGGACCCCCCGCAATTGCTCCCAAACCAAGAGGGAAGCCGAGAAAGGACGCATTTCATGGGATGGGGAGTGCTATGGACCATTGGAAGGGTTTGTGTTTGCCTCGAAAAGGGCGTGTTGAGCTCCCAAGATCAATAGGTTATGCAATTTAGCAGAGGTTTCGTTTGTTTTTTCAAAGCCATTTGCGCCGTGTGATTCATAGACCAACAAAAATTGGTTTGGGTTGGAAAATCAAGGTCCTTGCTTCGTGGAAACAAGCACGCAGAGCCAGCACCGAAAACACACACCATGAACCACGAAAAAATACCAAAAACGACCCCAACCTCGACTGCCCTGAAAACACGCTACTCAGAACGCAAGCAGTTCCCAACAGCCTAACCTCCCCCAAACCACCCAAAGTCCCCAGCGCGTTTCTTGCCGTCGTTGCTCCGCAGGACTACAGGGCCTCGATTTCCATCGCTTCAAAAGCTGAGATGGGGGAGTGCCTAGGATATTGGACGGTAGAAACCCAGTTGGCCAGTGGGCTACCACCTAAAGCGCACACCTTGGCTTGTTTGGGGCTTGCAGAAAAATGTTCGTTTTTTTTGGGGGTGCACCATCATAGGGTCAGTGTAGCAGAGCGCGGAGTTTGGGGGACACAGTGGCTTCGGTGGCAGCTTTTTCAAGGGGCTGGGCAAGCACGATCAATCGGCCAATCCCCACATTCACAATTCAAGCCTATCTATTGCTGCTTTTCCACTGTTGCGCGTTGTTTGCTCGCGTCGGAGAGGTTTGGTTCGAACATGAACAACATGACGCGAGCTTGCAAAGTTATGACCTGAAGACGGATGTCTATTCGCACCAGGTGAGTGGCTCACATGACAGCCACAGCACCCGTCACAGTTGAGCTCAGCATATTCAGGAGATTAGCAACGACAATTTGATCACCAAAATTTGGCAGCTCCCCGGCATTCATGACCTCGCACCCCTTTGAACACCGGCCAGAACACTGGCAGCCAGCACAAGTTTCAGAGAAGCTTGGGCTCCTTGGCACAGCACCTTCCAACAAGACATGCCAGACTCAGAGATAGCAGAGCGAACAAGCAGGATTTCGGCATGGCCGCAGACACGCAGACGAGTCTGCAAAGGCAAACGAGCCGGGGCCTGGGCTGAAATTGCCAGACAGAAGCGGATCTGGGCGTTTGACCCTTGAACCAAAAGCTGCTCAACCGTTTCTGTGTTTCTTGCGACACAAGCTCAGAAGATGGAGTGGGCGGGTGCAAAGAAAGCAGCAAGGAACACAGGAGCTCCGGTGTGTTCCACAACTAGGGCTTGATGACCTGCTAAGGACGGCTTAGAAGACAGCCGGGAGCCGCGGATGCGGATTCGGTCGGAAGCACCCACATTCCAATTGATCACAGTCAGCCTCAAGAGAAGGGGACTCGCCATGGCAAGCCACAAGATAGCCAACCACGCTCAAATGTACCGTATTTTCGGACATACCCAAAGACCACAAGGAAATTGGGGGATCAGGGTCTAATCCCGATTTCCGTGTCAGGCTCATCTAGCTGCATAGGAGATGACCATTTGGCCCCTGAAAATGATTGTCTTGGCTCAGTCGTGGGCAAAAGGTCGAGCTCCGCCAGTTGCCAATCTGAAGGGGATCGCATAACTACTCTGTCCATGATTCACCGTGGAAAGACTTGTGATTCCATCGTTCTAATTGTTTGATGTTTGGTTGCAAACGTCGTTTGATTGCACTAGGTTACTAGGACACCAAGGTAAAGAAAGCCATTTTTGAGGTTCCTCGGGTTCTTTGTCACACTCGCCGTTGTCCCTCCCCCCTTCCAAGGGGGCCCAGAATGCAGCCAATTGAGGCATGCGCTGCTGCTGGCTTGTCTTGTTTTTCCGGCGCGCCTTCCTCAGCAGGGACTGCAACTCTTATAGCTGTGAAGGAATTGACCCCCCCCAAACTGGGCCAATCCAGATGCGTATAAGAAAGAGAGACAGAGAGAGAGAGAGAGAAAGCGAGAGAGAGAGAGCGAGAGAGAGAGAGCGAGCGAGAGAGAGAGAGAGAGCGAGAGAGAGAGAGAGAGCGACTGGTGACAAAGCTTTTTGGTTGGATCACAACGTTGGCCGGCACCTTTACAGACATCTTGTCGCTTTTGTTTCTGTACCCATTGTCGGATACTGATTTGCATCTTCAGGCACGCCAAAAAGGATTCTCGAACAGATTTGGCTTCATCTCTGTTTCAGCTGTTTTCGTTGGCTTCTAGTACAAACTCATTCCACTCATTCCACACTCCTCTAGACCTCCTTCCTTTTGCGTGGTGCGTCGGGCTCGAAGCCGCCCGGCTTCGATCGATTCTCGAGGCAGCTGCTGAACTGGACCTTGGGCCAGGCGCGAGCGACGTGTGCGGGGGGTCCGAAGATGGGAGTTTTGCGGCTAGGGCATCCCAAAGAACCAAAGGGCTAGCGTTCGGTTTAAGGGGACGACCCTTTGGGTTTGTTTTCAAGGGAAACCACAGGGTTAAACCCCATCATGTAGGCACAGCCTCAGTTGGACTGAAAGGCACATTGAGCAGGCATGGCTGCACGTCGGATACATGATGTTATATACGTACAAGTACGTGCGTATTGTTGCATGCAGAATCGAATCTATATTAACATATTCTATCACATTATGTATATAATGTAAGTTCTACAACTATGTCAATGTGCATATTCACCAATACACGCACTACCTCCTGTGAGTGCATCTCACTTCAAGCGATCCACAAGGAGTATCTTCTATCTGCCGGATTCACTTGGCTTGCGCGAGACGCAGGGCGCTGCCCGAAACGGGCCGGCGCGCGTGGCTCGGCATGCGGAGACAGACATCGCCGGGGGCTCAAGCGGCATCGGTGTAGCTCTGGGAGACGAGCAGCTACAACTGTTCTGGGCCTATAGCGACCTGGGCAATGGGTATGTCCTGTTTTTTGAACGTTCCCAATTCTTGTGGAATTTCAACGGAAACGAGGACCACCATTTTGGGTGGCACCCGAAGAACAAGACACCCACTTTTCGTCGTCTCAGGTGGTGTCCCGGAAGGTGCCCATCATCCCGCGGCCGCAGAAAGGCGACGGATCCCTTTTCGGCGCGTCGGGGCCCGGGGGTCTGTCTGTGCTTTTCTTTGGGGACCCTTTTTTTTAAAGGGAAATCCACAGCAAAGCCGCCGAAAAAAAACGCGCTCCCGAAAGTGTTTTACAAAAAAAACATGGCGGCGCTTTTGCAGTGCACATTTTGTCCTCAAGCGCGTTATGGAACATTTGCGGAATTAGGCGGGAAATCGGCGGAATTAAGCGGGACATCGGCGGAATTAAGCGGGACATCGGCGGAATTAAGCGGGACATCGGCGGAATTGGCGATCATTGCTTTATGTGGCGGCGTTGTTTTCTAAAAATCGGTCTTTTTCCCTGAAATCGGTGCGTTTTTTCCAAATCGGCATTTTTTGCGGTTTCGGCTTGCCGCAGAGCATTTCGGCCAAAAGTTTGGCCGCCGGAGGTTCCAGGCATAGGAGGCAATCCGTATTTTTGATTCCACCCCCAAAGAAACTCTCAAGGGGAGGTAGTTTTCTTCCAGGCCATGATTTTACAACCGAGACTGCTGAAACCCGTAGAGGTTGTGGCGTGTTTAAGACGTTCATGTGGGATTGTGTCCAAACGGATATGTTCACCCAAATCGCGTTTTGTCTTGGGCATCCCTAGCAAAACATCCCTGAAAGAGAAAGTCATTTGGTTTAGTTGCCCCTTCTTTACATTTCCCAGAGGGAGTGATTTCCCTTTATCGGGCGGCTCCCCTGTACAAATCCCATTCTTGGAGGTTCAATCCACTTAGGAAGTAGATTATAACCATGTTCGTAACTACCGGGGTGACTGGGGTTAGTTCGCTTGTGACCATGGTTACAACTTACTGTGGATGGACAAAATCCTGCACCAATCTGGATGAAGCCCTTACACACGCCGGGATAAAAACCAGCTACCACTTGGCGCGGGATTCCGTGGCTTTTGTCCACCTTTTTCAGCTTAGTTTCAGGGGGAAAGGCGTAAAGCTACAGATCAATTCTCAGCCTAGTTTTAAGGAGCTCCCAAACATTTGAGTCACACTCAAACCCCGGGTAGGTGAAGGTTAGTAGTAAGGGACAGTCCGAACCACAAATAGGTGCGAAGATCTGGGCCGACCATTTCGCTACCGATTGGTTTGATTGCGACCTATTTGACGCTATACTAGCTGCTTAATCGGCGGCACCTGGCATCCGCATTCCGCAGGTCCCCGGCCCATCATGGAGCTGCCGTACCACCAGCGGCCCCATGTGCCGGACGGGGCGGACCGGCGCCCGGGGCCCGTGAGGCGCTCGCCGGAAGAGGGGCCGCGCCTTCAAAGGGGACCCCCCAAAATGGGTGGGCGTTCCTTGTGGTTTCGCTTTAAGCCAACCTCACGAAGGGACCCTCAAAAAAAGACAGACACTTTTGTGGTCGGTTTGGTGCATCGATGGATTCCGCTGGTTGCATCTTGCTGACAATTGGCCAATGCCAATCTATTTTTCCAGGACACGTGCAAGGTGTTGCAGACGCCATGGCAACGGGCCTTACATTGGGAGGTCAATCCCATACAGCCAAGATGCTTTGTTTCATTTGTTGGTTTAGGGTGGGGGGTTGCAAGCAAATGCTGTTGTTTGGGAAATGGTTTGGGACAAGAGTTCCACCGAGGCCAAAGAGGGAGGGACTGCTGTCGGCCTTTGTCCTTTCAATTCAGCTGGCAAAAGGGAAGGGGACCATGACCCACATCAGGAGGTTGGACCATGGCACACACACACACACAGGTCAAGTTGCCTGTAAGCAACTCATGGTGTTGTCATTAAATTAGTGGACTTGGGTGGTTTCCCTTTTGAGACGCCCCAAACTACTAAAAGGCGCGAAATGACCATGCCAATAGGCAGACCCATATAGGAATGAGTCAGCCAAAAGGCTTGCTTTTCAAGTTGATTTTATAATGCCGGAAAGGATCCACAGGTTGTGTTTCCCCAAGACTGCCATGCGGGTTGTGAGAACCCGGCCCCGCAGGGGTCTGGTGCTGAAGGGCTCGCTGGTGGTCTGGACCTCAGGAATCAGGAAGGCTGCCAGTGACAATGCAGCCCGGCGGGTGGTTTGGAGACAGGGGGCAATCTGGGCATGGCATGGCTCCTTTCTTGTTATGCACTGGCTTGTTCTCGTTTCGCGGCATCCTGAGCCGACTGTGTATAGTTCGGGCTGCAACGACCATCCAGGATGAAAGCAAGAAGCCTTTGCGTAGCCTTCTGTCCTTATGAAATCAACCAGAGAGTCCACTTTAAATGAACACGGTCTTCCAGGACCCCTTAGTCAGGTTCCGTGTTAGTGGACATGAGGGGTATGTGACCCTGAAACCAGGACACCCTGGACTCGGGAGTGGATGAGAACCAGCGTGGCGGGCTGAAGGGCCGCTACGCTGAGGAGGCGCGAAGCAGCCAGCACTTGGCGGTTGGAGCGCTGTTGCTCCTGCCTTTGGGGGGACTACTGTGAGGTCCCATAGGCAGGTGGATGTCAACCCTAGGCATGTTTTAGAGTTCTACTGGTTCGGCGATGGTAGCTCATAGCGAAGCCGTGGAGGAAACTTTTTCCTCCGAGCGGTTTGGGTCGAGCGAGTTGCGGCCATTCGCCCGCGACCGCAGATTGCGGAGCACCTCGCCTTCCGCAGATCTCTGGTCGCGCAGGGCTACGCCGGCATGTTTCTGCAAGCCCAAAGAAGCGGGCTACGTAGTATGCTTTCCAAACATCGAAGTGCACAAGAGGCATTTGAACATGACAGCAATCTTTCAAAGCTTTCCTTGAAAGATTCTATGATTGAGGAGGGAAGGATTGGCTGAAATTCGACTTGATCATCTTCACGTGACGTCAGATTTCATGGTCAATCTGCTTTTCAGCAAGGCTGATACACACAGAGGCTTTATGATGTGATGTTTGACAAAGACATCCTCCTTACGCAACATGCTCTTAAATATTTGATCCATGCAGAGTCGGCTCAAGGGCCATGTACGGCATTATGCCCAAATCTCCTGGGTGACACCAGGGGTACGCCCGCATACGCAGGGTTTTGGCCAGGGTTGTTTTACTCAGGCAATATCAGGCAGGGGGGGTTGCGTTTGATTCGCAAGGTATCCGGGAGAATATCACGGTCCTTTGGGACCACGACAATTTCGAGCTTCCCGAGGCGCGGAAGAGTTGAATTTCACTTCCTACCCATATGTGACCCTGGCTCGATGGATATGTCAAGTACGCATTTCTTGGCAGATTGGTGGCTGCCTTTGATATGCAGAAATAGGGCCTATGTCGATGTCAATAGGCTTTCTTGAGCAAAAAATCCGCAAAAGATCAGGCAGGGTGGCTTCAAGTGTCATGCGCACTCTTCTCTCCGGAAATGGAAAAGGAGCCCAATCGAATGGAAAAGGAGCCTTGAAGCAAGACAAGGGCACTGGTTGAAAGGCAGTCTTGTTGGCGGCCTGATGAGAGGCATCCATAGACCTGTACATAGATGGTGCATATTAATGCACATGTACATATATATATATATATATATATATATATACATGAGCAACGTTCTAAAACCCCTGCACTTGAAAGTAGTATTCGGGAGGAAATATCGTTTTCAAAATGTTGACTTTCCCCAGGTCGCGGAAGCGCCGCGCAAGGTTCGCGGAAGGGTTTCTCCTTTATGTACTCGCGGAAGCTTCGCGGAAGGGCTACGATTCAATCACGAAAGCAAGAAATTGTAGTTTTCCTTCACGCGCGGAAGCGAAAACGAACCAATCCCATTTCTCAATCCGCAGAAGCGACGCGGAAGTGATTCCCTCTTCAAACCTCTTGCGGAAGGAACCTTTCATGCCGCGCAAGCTCCGCGGAAGCCTTCGCGGAAGGGATTTGATATTTTTCTTCGGCCGCAAGTGGGTTAAGAACACTGCTCACATGTACATTATATGTATTGATGTAGCAGGTATTTGATTGCCTGGAGTGTTTGACTGCACCGCTCCGAGGTCTACGAGCTTCGGCCGCTGGCGGCTTTGGCGGAGCGCTGAGTCCTCGCGCAGTGTCGACTCCTGCCACCGGGTCGCAAACCTGTTGGAAGGATCATTTGTGTCGGTCTTTTCTAAGGGTGCCTGTTTTTGTGGTGGCTTTGAAGGAAAACCAAAAGGAACGCCGCCATGTTGGGAGGCGCCCTAAAGAAAGACACCCCCAGTTGGCAATTTAGAAGGAACTACATGGTGCACAGCCCTTTGCACCACTGCAAAGAAGCGGCCCAAGGGGTACAGAGCCACCGAACTGAACACACAGTCCATTTGGATAGAAATCCTACCACTTTCCTTGTCCAAGCCCGGGCATGCCTTCGTACCGCACACTTCAATCTGGCCGACGGAAATACGCCGCAAATGTTCGATTCGCGCCGGGTGATGTGCGTGGTTTTAGCACGCGCGCTTCAGAATGCCAGCCGGCATGGAAGCGAGCAAAGGTTGCACGGGATGCTCCTGGAGCAGGCAGATGCAAGCAAACTGAAAATTCGAGTCTGAATCCTGTTGCCCCAGACTACAAGGTCAAGACTAGCAGCTATGCGAAGCAGGCATCATGGCGAGATGCGTGCTGGGTGCTGTCAGACATGTCTAAGGCAAAGGTTAAGCTGGACGTGATCAGCTACACTGCAGCCATCAGCGCTTGCAGGAAGGGCGGGCAGTGGCAGCAAGCTTTGGGCTTGTTTAGGGCCATGCTTCAGGAAAAAGTTTTGCCTGACGTGATCAGCTACAATGCAGCCATCAGTGCTGGCGAGAAGGGCGGGCAGTGGCAGCAAGCTTTGGGCTTGTTTGGGGCCATGCTTCAGGCAAGAGTTTCGCCGGACGTGATCAGCTACAACGCAGCCATCAGTGCTTGCGAGAAGGGCGGGCAGTGGCAGCAAGCTTTGGACTTGTTTGGGGCCATGCTTCAGGCAAATGTTTTGCCGCGTGTGATCAGCTACAGTGCAGCCATCAGTGCTTGCGAGAAGGGCGGGCAGTGGCAGCAAGCTTTGGGCTTGTTTGGGGCCATGATTCAGGCAAGAGTTTCGCGGGACGTGATCAGCTACAATGCAGCCATCAGTGCTTGCGAGAAGGGCGGGCAGTGGCAGCAAGCTTTGGACTTGTTTGGGGCCATGCCTCAGGCAAAGGTTTTACCGGACGCGATCAGCTACAGTTCAGCCATCAGCGCTTGTGAGAAGGGTGGGCAGTGGCAGCAAGCTTTGGGCTTGTTTGGGGCCATGCCGCAGGCAAAGGTACAGCCGACCGTATTTAGCTACAGCGCAGCCATCACTGCTTGCAAGAAGTGCGGTCAGTGGCAGCAAACTTTGGGCTTGTTTGGTGCCATGCTTCAGGCAGAGGTTCTGGCGAACACGACCAGCTATAATGCATTGCTGGATGCTGTGTTTGACAAGCCGCATGGGCAACATTTTTTTGAAAGTGGGTTGTCAGCACAGGTTTTCCCGAAACTTGTGAAGGTACGCCCAGACATTATCGACCTTCATGACCTGTCTGAGGGAACGGCTCAGCTTGCAGTGCGTTGGTGGCTGGCAACTGTGGTGGTGTCAAGTTTTGGCAAAAGGTTGGGTACTTCTGAACAGTACAATTGCATCCTAGTCACAGGGTATGGGAGGTCACGGAAGGGGTGGGACACAACAGACGTCCAGGCGGCTGTTTTGAGCATGCTGCGGACCATGAAGCTGAACGCAAGAGTTCTTGAGAGCAATGCTGGCCGTTTGCAGCTGGTGCTCAGCAAGCGCGACACGCCATTGCTCCAGCAGTGTTTCAAATGTTGCAAGCAGCGGAGGGGAGATCAGGGAGCACTTTTGGGCATCGGAAAGCGAAGAATTCAAGTACCTTGTAAGGTAGTACTCGTCGCCCCCCCGACGCCGTTCTCCAAGGGTAGCAAGGAACCCGAAGGGGGAGGCGGCTGTAACCCAGATGCCATCCAGAGTCTAAAGCATGGGGGTGAAGGAGGTCTAAAGCAAAGAAGCCATTGTCTACCGGAGGGTCTTTCAAGGTCCGGAAGCCACCCGAACTTGGCGTATTTCTCGTCGTTTTGACGGATCCTTGATTTTTGCCAGAACCGCCTAAAAATCCGCCAGGTTTAATCCAAGGAATGCTCCAGGGTAGCAAGCCATCCAGGTTCAATCCGGGCCCTACATCAGCTGAGCCAAAATCAACACGTTTTGAACTGCTTTCAATTGTCTTGGGTAGACCCTCAGGTTGGCCTTTTTTTTCAGTTGGGCCCGTGTCTCCTTTGCGCGCCCAGAACCGGTACTGCGCCTGGATCGCCGGCCTGCTGAACGCCACGGCGGCACGCTCAAGACAACTCGGGTGGAGAGATGGTAGTCATACATCAATTTATATATCTGTATGACAGCTTAGAATATATGAGTTGTAGACTGATGTTTAAGATGCAGAATCATGAAAGTGTGAGTGCAAAACCCACCTGCAATCCAAAGCCATTCTTTGGTTTAATCCGTGGCAATATCCTGCGAAAACACGTACGAAGATCTTCTTGTGGTTGTGGCGACTTCTTACATGCCAGTCTGGCTACACTTGCACCATGTCTGAAAGGGACTTGGGGGGAGACAGAATTCACTCGCTCCGTTCAGCTCGGGGTGTCCAAGGTGACGCGGATAGAAACAGTCCAGTTTACGAGATACTCGGCTCCGCCAACGCTCTGGGCTCAGTCAGTGAGTGGTTCATGTTTGTCCACGACGATGAGCAGGCTGAAATCACCATTGGTTGTGGAGTGCGGGCAATTTGAGGTCGACCGCGTGTGCTGATGCAGGAATGCTTGCAACAATCTGATGAAGCTGGTTCATGATGATGAGGAACGTCTTTGGTTTTGGCACCGATGAGGGGCCCCTGAATACGCATTACATTCTCGACTGATACCATTTGTTTTGGATGGTCGGGCCGTGAGAAGGAATCTCATGGAGGAAATGAAGGACGTTGCAAGAGCGCAGCCTTTGGTGCTGACGAATTTGTTGTTTTCGCAAGTGCCAGCGCCAAGGTGGGAGTACATCAAGGGCGTGCAAAATCTCTTTGTCAGCCTGCGGCAGTTTGGCGGAGTTGTGCACAGGCCCCGCACACACGGGTTCTACGTGTTGCAGGGTTACTGTTCGTTCTCTGGGCACGTCATGTGCCAGCGTTCAAGAGAGCTTGTGTTACACACCAGGACAACACACATGTTCCCGTTTGCTTAGGGTGGTTATTTACTCATCTCAGATCTCTACTGGTGTGGGTGGGAACTGGCCATCACTGGTACACATTGTTTTATCTTTTAGCGGCAGCAGCCTGGCCCAGCGTCATTCTGGGGAGGGCAAACAATGGTCATCCAGCCCTGCAAGAGTGGTTTTGGACAAAGGAATCTCAAGGATTCTTGTGGGAACCATCCCTGACTCCACTTTCATGGCCTTAGGGTCGGGCAGCCAAAGCTCAACAGCTTTCCAGCCAAGCCGAGCCGTCCGCACTGTGGGCAGCACTTCGGCTGCCACAATCAAGCATGTTCGATAGGTTGCATCTTGTTTTCGGCGGCACGGGTTCGTTGGAGGGCAGTTGACACCCGTCCGAAGCAGTCTTTTCGCGCGGGCCGAGAGCCGCGCTCAGGGCATGGCCTCCCATGACGGACCGCACGGATGCTGGCGCCTGAGCGCGCCATGGCACCGGTTGCGAGTCGGGTTTGCGGCTTGAGATACGTTTGTTTGGACAAATCCCTCTATGAGGGCGTTCCTCATTTGCCAAAAGGGGGAGGAGGTGGAAAAAGCGGACCCTGTTTGAGCCATCATTGAAGGCTGGTGCTCTCCGGGCCAATTTTGATTTGCCTCCAAATGCAGGCACCCACAAGCCGAGTCGTTTTCCTTTGGCTTTCGTTTGACCCCCCCAAATAACACAGTACCCTCACACAAGCAACACCCACTTTGGTCCATTCAATTCGGTCAGACTGGTCAACCCCGTGACCTGCGCCAACCTCCTTGCGGACTCGCCAAACGGACCCTGCGGGGGTGTACGGATTCTCATGTTGATTTTTCCTAGTACACCATCAAAAACGGGACTCCCCGTTTTGATTGTCAGGCCATCTTTACCGTGCGCGGTTTTCTCGTTCCGTCGACAACCTTCGCAATTGCTTAGTTTCTGGACTTGATACTTTTTGTTGCAGACCATTCCAGTGGCAAGTTCAAACAGTTCGGACTGGTTTTGGTTCATGCACTCAGGAAGTGAGACTTTCTATACCTCTCTGCCTGAGTTCCCTTTATATACATAATATATATATATATATATATATATGTACCAGTCCCTGGGCCACGTACCCCCCCCCCCCAATGGTATGGTCCCCCCACTCCCCCGCATCATCCGCATCTTGGGGATGATGCTGGCAATGCTGGGGATGCTGTCCAGTACCGTGCGAGCCCTGCAGTCCCAAACACCCCCGCCTCTCGCAACATCCTACCCTAAACCAAACCACCCTTTAACCCCAACCCTAAGCCTAAATCAACCCAAACCCCAAACCCACCCGAAACCCACCGCAAACCAAGCCTGAACCAACCCTGAACCAACCCTAAACCAACCCACCAAGCCTCAACCAACTCCGAACCACCCAACCACCCAACCACCCAACCACCCAACCACCCCACCACCCCACCACCCCACCACCCCACCACCCCACCACCCCACCCACCCCACAGGGGGGGGGGGGTTGGCCCAACCACCCAACCACCCAACCACCCAACCACCCCACCACCCCACCACCCACCCACCCCACCCCCACAAAAAGGGGGGGTTGGGGGGGGGAGGGGGGGGGGGGTCCACGGCCTGGAACATATATATATATATATATATATATATATATATATATTTAAGACCATTTTGGCGGTAAACAACAAGTTGGCCAGTCCACTCAGGAAGCGAGATACCCTTGTGAGTCTTTGGACTAACCCTCGTTGGCGCTCGAACCTGATTGCTCTGAGTCCATCTTCTTCGAGAGGCGGGTGCTTGGGACGGGGGAGCCTGGGTGGAGTCAAGAATACCTGCAACTGTTTGGGGGAAAAACATGTTTCCGAAACCCTGAAATTCTTAGGATGTAGGAGGACCCCAAATCCAGGATTTTCTTGGTCATTGGAATGTGTGGCGAGTCCTTCTCAGTGCACCGGGTTTTCAGACCTTTGTCATTCGGAGCTTTGCAGGCACAAGCATTTAGGCAATCAATCCATTTCAGGATCCAATCTCATTGGCAGCTTGACTCAGCTTCTCGGGTGCTGAGGGATCGATCTCAGGGCAGGTTGGAATTTGGATTCGGATCAGCATTTTTCTGATCGCATCTCGCAGGTTCAGACACCACTTGGACCTCATGGCGAACGGAGGCGACTTCGGATGACAATTCTTCGTGAAAGGCAATGCTTGGGCCATCGCGCACCAAGGTCATTGGTGGGAATTTGTAACAGGGGACCATTTGGTGCAACTCTTGAAATTCCGTTTGCCATTTGGGTGGCCCAAATAATTTGTTGCGGGCTCACCTATGGTCCGCCAAGGCCATGTCAAATGAACCAGAGGAAAACCACCCATTTTGGAGGATCCCCCATTTTGAGACCAACGAGTTTGGGGCGCCACGAGTGTCAAAGCGTTGTTCGTTCGCAGATTCCATTGGCCGCATCGCAGGCCCGAGGTCCATTTTGTGCCTGATGTCGGAGGAGAAGGCCGTTGTGCGTTTTTTTTTTTGGCGTTTGTTTTTGGCGTGGGTGGGAGGGGGGGGGATTCCTTGGAGGGGTCTCTGGGCGTGTTAATCCCTTTTTGGGTTGGTCTAAGAGAGACCAAAAGGACACCAACTTGGCATAGAGCCATGCCGCACAGGAGAAAAGGGCCCGAGAACCGTGCAATGAGCTACGCTGCGAAGGATTGTACAAACTACGTTCTGATGGCTGTTTGGAGGCATCTAGCACCTGCTTGCCTTCAGACGGGGGCTTTCACAAAAGACAGAATTGTCACAAAGTGGCAGTGAGCGGCAAGCAAAGGTGCTGCCAGCCTTTGAAACCATCAGGCGATGTCGTTCTTGTGGCGGGAATGGCTCCCTGTGCTTTTGTATGCGCAGGCAAGCTGCAAATCAAGGTAGATTTGTGTGTGTTCAAAACAGTGGACCTCGAAGCATTGAACGGGGCCGTATCCACATGGGTCATGTATCCGCAGGGCTACCAGGCCATGATCGAGGCCGCGCAAAGCGAGGGCGTCACTGTTTGGGCCTCGGGATCTCCGGATAGTCGTGTCGCAAACCCGGAAGTTTAGTCAAACAGTTATAGGAACTGAGCTGGGATGCCAACCGAAGGGATGGTTCCCTCAGTGCCAACGGATCACCTCAGGGGAACACCACCCAAAGAACTCACAAAGCGGCGAGCGACTTATACATTTCGAATTGTTGTGAGTGAGGGGGACCACCCATTGACATTTGTGGGTCACCCATGAAGGGGGGCGCAGCATGTCACCGTCAAACCGGGCCCCAGATCCCGGATATGTTCTTGAGTCTTCGAGTCTCGGGGTTCTGACCTCCGACCGTTGGTTGCTGTTGTTGCCAAGGCTTGCGCTCTTTCCACCGCGTACTGAGGTGGTCCGCATTGGCAAAAACGGCTTGATAACTTACTATCCAGGCCCGGACCCTTGGTGGTTGCTGAGATCGATGTCTTTATCATGGCCAAGAAACCACCGAAGTTGCCCGTCATCTTTGCTGACGAGTTGAGTGGGGCATTTATGAAGACTTCGACATTTGCCTAGTATGGGTATGGGTCAAAACTCAACCACCAGGATATGAGCCGCTTGTTCTAGGTTCCATTTACCAGGCCGGTAAGTACCAACTAACCCTGCTTTCCCATGGATCCAAAGTGATGCAGGATTTCGCCAATCCACAGTTTGCAGACTCTCTCCACAATGGTTGTTAGTCCACTCGGCAATGAAGCTGAGGCGCCCACGACTTCAGCGTGCCGGTCTTCTGGGAAAGGCGCTGGCCGCTGTCCGAAGTGGGACCTGCGTCTCAGAATAGGTTTTCTTCAAATGTAGGAACTTCCCCAAACCGGTTTTCCTTCAGCTCGCCTTTAAACCAACCCCAGCCCGGGCGGGTCAAGACGAAAATGAGGTCTGTTTAGAATTTCCGGGTTCTTTTTGTCCGCTTGGGTCTCCCAATCCGAACCATCCAAACCGCCATGCGTTGTTGGTGGCCTGTTCCATCCCAGGGCTCTTCGACGGGTGGTTCCAGGTGGCGCCTCGCCCAAGAGCAGCTCTTCGACTTCAAGCTGGACCCCTTTCGGCCGGCAGGGGAGTGGCGCCCAGAGGAGGCCGGGTGCCCAATTTTTGGGCGTGAATGGGACCTACCCCATACGCTGGCCGGAGACAGGGCCGGCGAATATCAAGTTGTTGACAAACACAGGTTTTCGGCTCTTGGGGGTCACGATGAGCATTTGGTCAGTACGACTTTATTGTGGTTTTAAGCGTATCTCTTGTTGGCCAGTTGTATATGAGTTTCGTGGAGGTGGCGTGATGTTCACAGGGGGGCGCATGGGGAAACTCGATCACTGGAGGGTCTGCCTTTGGGACCGCAGCTTTTGCTTTTGCCGTGGGCATATCGAAAACGCCAACACCAGTAATGGCGCACAGGAATGGACCAATGTCTTTATTCCTTTGCACCATTACTGGTTGGCGTTTCGTTATAACTTCGTGTCATTTTTTCGTCATTCTGCCACGGTCTCAACTCCTTTAGTGGTTAGGGAGAAAGCCCATTGCACCGGGTTCCTGAAGATAGTATGACCTGGGGGTCAACAGGCAGAAGAGTCGGGGCAAGGGTGGTTCTACTTTTGCCGCTCTTTGCCAGGAAAAGGGGGGGATCCAAAGCACACATGAGCCTGAGCTGGTGTTCGATCTCCCTACTTCCGCCCCCTTTTTTTCTGCAAGAACTCTAAGAACCCCCCGTTATTTGTGGGGCCTGTTTGCCTTCCGCAGCTTTTCCGGCAAACTTCGGGTCGCGTCACACGTCGCACGTGCGAGGGCCCCAAGAAGTGGCACGACGGCCCTGTCCAGCTGGAGCCCTACGGGCCCGAGGAGGCGAGACCCAATCTGCGACCGTGGTGTGGGTGGTTGGGTCACAAGTTGGAGTACTTAAAGCGTGAAAGTTGATACATGCATATATATATATATGCATTTTATGCAGGTGTGCCAAAATATATATTTCAAAATCACTATATATGTATATATGTATATGTATGTATATATATATATATATGTTTTTTTTCTTAAATATATTAAATCTTACCACTAGGCTGGCTTGGCTACATCTGCTTTCTGATGGTTCCTGCAGAGAATGCAGAGATGCAGTAGAGAATTATTGGCGACGAGGCTAGTGACTGGCGATTGTCAGAAAACTTAGATTTACACTAGTTAGGGGGTGATCGGCCCTGCAAAGATCTCGAATATGGACATCGTGCAATATTTATCAGGCTCCTTTTTAAAGGAAACCCAATTTTAGTCCTGATGTGGGATGGTTCTTCAAGAAGGCTTCGAATGGCTTTTTTAAGTCTACCAAAGCGTAGGGATCCAGGAGTGCCTGCCATTCGCAGGAGCTGGACCGCCGGGTCTTTCATGGCACTTGCCTCAGCAGAGATCCCAAAGTAAAGGCATGGTCCGATGAACAGCATAGATCTCTGCTGCTCTGCATGTGTTTTTCCTTGCCTGCCTGCCTGCCTGCCTGCCTGCCTGCCTGCCTGTCTACCTGTCAGTCCGTCCGTCCATGTGTCAATGCGTCCGTCCGTCCGTTTGTCTGTTTGTCTGATTGTCCTTGTGTCTGCCTGCTTGCCTGCCCGCCTGCCTGCCTGCCTGCCTGTCTGTCTGTGTCTGTCTGTCTGGCCGCCCGCCCGCCCGCCCGCCCGCCTGCCTGCCTGCCCGCCCGTCTGTTTGTCTGTCTGTCTGTCTGTCTGTCTGTCTGTCTGTCTGTCTGTCTGTCTGTCTGTCTGTCTGTCTGTCTGTCTGTCTGTCTGTCTGTCTCCGTGTCCGTGTCCTTGTCCATGTTGTTTTGGAATCCAGTCATTGTATATGTGTAAGGGGTTTGATGCACACTTGATGGTCTGTGAGTCTATTTTTCTTTCACGGGAAACGCATAGTTGTCATCATCACCGTCAGCTCCTCAGCCGCTGGGGACACGGCAGCCCAACGAATATGGCCTGCGATGATAGGGGAAGGACGACACATCTTGGATTGCCTGAAGCATATGTGGACGGGCCCTTGATCAGGGAAGTTGTGAGGGAACACGCAGTGTGCGTGTTGTGACATGTCCCAACATGCAAGACTTGGGTGGGAGATGTGCCCTCGAGCAAAGCTATCGTTGTGCATTGGCTGAAACATGTTGCACCACTAGACAAGATATGCCTGTGTGACAGGTTGGGATACTCCTCGGGTGGTTTGGTCCGATTGTTCAGTGGTGGGACTCGTTTTTCCTTCATTCTGTTGTCGGTCCCACAAACAACGGTACAGTTGCACGCCCTTTCATTCCCTCCTGTTATGCGTGCATATAATCCATCGTAGAGTTCAAGATGTAGCCAGTTCTTCGCGTTCAGTGGAGCCCGTTGTTTTATTTCCCAAGGCCAAGCCAGCCCGCCACAAGCTCCATTTGGAAGCACAACGACACCCCCGCGCTACCCTTTGAAACGTGGAGCTGAAGCGAGTTCACTGCGCAAAAAGGGCTTCTCGCGCCGCATCTGCATGGAAGTCATCCCGGAAGCAGTGCTTAGATGAGATGCTCCGACTCAGTCGTCGGAGCATCATTGTCTCAATTGTCCAAACGGAGAAGCCAAAGCAACTTCATGAACTTATGGTCAACACCCAGCGACGTGGCAGCATGTCTTGTAGTGATCCCACTGTGACGTGTGTGTGTGTGTGTGGCGACGGAAGGGAAGAGGAGAGTACCTGGTCTTCCAAACAGGTATGGGCACTTCCCATGCTTGTTGAGACTCCATGGAAAATGTAATTAGGCGTCAGTTTTCCGGCCTCTCGGCCCAGATTTCGTGGACAAGAAGATGTACGAGGTGAAGGGCAGTCTAGCACTGGGGCGCCCCTGGCAGTTTGCAGCGATGCCTTTTGCTTTCTTGGTTAGTTTGGGATAGTGCTGTGCTGCCCAAGTGGTTGACCTTTCCTTTTCGAGTTCCTTGTTCTTTGCAAGCAACTTTTGTGCGAAAAGCAGCAGTCCGCAGGTCCGCAGCATTCTCAGATTCCTTGCCTCAACTTGGGGCAAGTGGCGGTGCCGGATCCCAGCAATTTTCCTTTCACACATCAACCGGTGTTTGATCGATCTACGTCCTACTTATGCACATGCGAAATGAACATACTGCACCTACAAGCCTATGAGGATGGTTTTAGGTATGAACCCTGGACAGCCCCTGAAGCCCTGATAAACCAAGTTTTTTCAACCACAGATGTCACAGACCATGGGTGTGTCTTTGGGAACCAGAAAGGGCATCATGTTTTGGGCCCCCAACAAAAGACACACCAATATTGGTTAAGTTATGACCAATTGGGGCTGTGTTGCTAGGAACCTGAAAGATTTGACGGCTGTCTCTGGCGGTAGACCGATCGCCAGAACCTGGTCCCGCCCGGGCTACCGCCTGAACGACACCTTGCGCATGGCCTTCGACCGCGCCAGCAGCAAGGCCTTGGCCAAGGAGAGGGGCGAGGGGCCGTCGTGTGAGCGAATCTTTTGATATGCTAACAATCACATATGTATACATAATATATATATATATACATACTTTCTATGGGGTAGGGAGTGGGGGGTGGGACAGTTTCCGTTGGGGGCAAGTAAAAGGACACATACTTTTTGAAAGGGTTCCTGCTGGCTTGTCTCCTCCCGTCCAACATCCCCAATGGCTGCGTACTCTTCATGTCAGCAGCCGCAGTTGTTTTCAAATTCGCCTGTGGCAGTCGGATTGGTTTAGAAATATTCGCAACATCCTGAAGGAATCACTCTGAAGACTCACATTGCAAAACGGTCAGTCGGTCAGTTCAACAGCCTTGAGTGGCCCTTCGCGATTTGGGTGTGTCTCACAATGAGGGACCCCCCAAAAATGGGTTTTGCTTTAGGTTTCCTCTCAAAAAAAAGAAGAACGATAACTTTTCATGGGTTGTGGGTCCTTCCTTGTGGACCAGGAGAAGAAGCACGTGCCCTTCAACACCGTCGCGCACCCAGTGAGCCGTCCGCCTGTGGTATGGGTCCAAATTAGACCACCAGGAATTGGACCGCAGGTTTGGTCCTTTCCATTTTCCACGGCAACCCATTCTGGGGTTACCCTATTTTTGATCCATACCCAAAGATACATCGTTTTGTAGTATTCTTTGGGATAAATCTGAATTATGGGCGGTTTATTCTTTTGGACCTGTCTTCCTTCGTTGGGTTGTAGTGGACTCCCCTTCCCGTAAGAGCTTGTGGCTGAAAATACCTAGTTTAGACATTCTCATTATCCGCTGCGAGAGTTGGGAGGAGAGGGAAGAAGTCTCTCTTTGTCTCAGGAACTTGACCATTAGGTGGTTCACTGTCAACATGAAAGGACATTCCGCTCCAGTCGTTTCTCCGGGATATACCTCTTCCCTTCGTGGCTTGGAGAGTTGACTCGCTCAGTCAAGCCCCGACATGCCAAAGAAAGAGAGTCAGGGTCTTATGGTTAACTGTCTATAGGAAACCCCGCTGTTTTCAAGCTTTTCAATGTGAGATAATTCTAGATTGGAGATGTAAGAACCCGGACGTTGTTGTCTTCGTTAGATTTCTTATACACATTCTGGATGCTTCTGGATCTTACATTCAAGCCGTTCCATTGCTAACAATTTCTGATGAAGATATGTCGATTAAAACCACAAGATATGAAAAGGACACAGGTAAGTGATAGCCAGTCCACCATTATCCCATCTCATTTTGTCGTAATAACTAGGGTTTAGCGCTTGACCCCTTATTAGCTCTCAATTGGACGAAGGAGATGAAGGGAGTAAATAAATATATATATATATATAATAGACTTTGATTTCTGAGACTATAGCTCTTCAAACAACCAACAGCGCATACCACATCCTTGAAATCAAGGTCTCTTTCTCATTGAGTCGTTCTCAGGTAAGGTCGGCCAGCCGGGCCGGAGTCCCCCAATCCCCAAGCTCATTGAGACCATTGCCCTGTCACCCCATGGGATCAGAAACAGGTTGAATCGCACAAGGATCGCGGCCCGCGGCGAAGCCGATCCGAGGGCGCCAGGTTCTTCAACGAGGACTTGGAGCGTCTCATGGAGGTTGGCCCCGAGGCGGGGGACCCGCAACCCGGTAGCCCTCGGATCCTTTTCCGAGGGTTTTTGGGAAAGGGAGAGCCACAAGGGGAAACCACAAGGGGAAACCAAAGGGGAAAACCAAAGGGAAGCAAAAGG